GGGTCGATGCAGACGGGAATCTTTAAGTTTTGGACGTTCCTGAGCGGTTTGGGAGCACAAACCTCCACTTTAGAGCGATTTTTGGCGTCCGCTGATCTCTCGCGTGCTGAAAATATTCTCAATATTCGAGAATATTCTCGAGAATATAGATGGTCTGGCGAGAATATAAGCAAAAGAATATAGATAGTACTTGGCGAGAAAAGCGTGCTTAGGCTAAGCCCTGGATGTGAGGCTAATGACTGCACTCCAAGTGCTCCAAGTGCTCTCGGACGATCTAGGATCCTGTGCCACAGCACCTTTGGCTTTGCTTGCCGCTGGTCGTCGCAGAGCTACAGCAAAACCGCGGTGATGGGATGCCCCAGTCCTGTGGCTACGCCGCTGGCTGGGCTCATCAATCAACCAATTTATTTATTTGGCGTCCGGAGCAAACAAATCGTACCACCCGGTGTGTTTGGAAAAGAAAGAAAGCAAACAGACAACTGGTGTTTGGAGCACTTGGAGTTGTTTTCCGCTGAATGCTTTTGTCGTACCACATCGTACCACCCGGTGTTTGGCGCGCTCGGACTCCGCGGTTAAATACTTTTGAGCGCGGCCCGGGCGAACGCGACAAGCAGCCGTGCCCAGGGCATCGTCTTCCTCGACCTGCCGTACGAGGAGAATGAGGAGGCGAAGAAGCTCGGCGCCGACTTTGGACTGAAGCTCTCGGATCAAATGTGGGAGGATGGCCAGCCGCTCAAGCGCAAAAAGTGGTTCGTAAAAGAGGGAATGGAGTTGGAGCCGCAGCCGTGGCCGCAGCCCCAACTCTTGCTGCTCTTCTTAGTGTCGGGTAGTGACCAGGGGTGAGGGGACGGATTGAAGATCCCTCACACCAAGATCGTGCAGGGCGGGGACACATGTCCCTAAATCCCATCTCGTCTCAGAGTTTGACCGTTTTATTTATTTATTCGCCTCGGCATCACTCGAAGCCGCGAGCTCGGATGCGGCCACAAGAGCGGCCTGCTTGGCACGCAGCTGCGTAATCGTCGGCCCGCGTGCGCGGCTCTTCACGGCCTGTGCCGGCGAGTTGGCGTTCACGCGCTGAATCATCATCGTCATGGCTGCTGTCTCGCTCGCTCGTGCGTCCTTGGAACTTGTGCCCGCCTCCTTCTCCTATGAGCTCGTATGCCACGTCGCCGCCTGTGTTTGGGTTTCTATGTTTGCGATTTGGAATTTGGTATTTGTCCAACTCTTTGTTTATTTATTTACATACATATAGAAATTACCCTGCGACCGCCTGGGTATTTTGTCGATTTCCTTGAGCACTTGAGCACTTGATAGGGTCGATTCCGCGTGGTACGGGACCCCTCGACCGTCTCGCCCTCCCTAAATTGACGAGCGCCCCAAAAAGCAATGAAAAAGAAAGAAAGAATTTTAGAGAGAAGAAAACAGACAACCCAAGGGAGGGATGGGAGGACGGTAAAAGCAATGACTGGGAGCACTTCGGGCGCTTCGTTTTCTTTTTGCTCGTCAATTTAGCATAGCGCCCGGGGCAATGTACAGCGATCGCCACCTCGCTGGCCTCTCCGCAAGGCCTCCTTGGATCCTGCTTGAGCACTTGAGCACTGGATAGGGTCGATTCCGCATGGTACGGGACCCCTCGATCGTCTCGCCCTCCCTCACTGGTGTGTTCATTGGGGGGGGTCATAACAAACACGGTACAGGATCGAGGTGCACGCTGCCGAGGCAGTGTCGTCCCCCCTCTCCCCGACGGCGATGGCGGTGTGACCGATCGAGCTACAAGAGGAGCTTGTTCAGCAGGATCCGGGATTAGTCTGATGCACTGCCTCACTGGGTCTGAGATCACCGAGACGCCTCCCATCACCGTCTCGGGTTTGCGTGGGATCGAACCACTCCGGGATGGGCAAGCCCATCGTTCTCATTGAGAGCTGTGCCTTCCTATCACCTGTGAGAGACAGTGGAGAGGGTGTGCGCCACATCAGCCGGAGCGGGCGGTGAGGGGGGGGGGGGGGGGCTCATCCATTCAGGCTCAGCATACAAAGCAACTTCAAGACATACTACACCCACAGCCGAAAAAGCAACTTCAAGACGTACTACGCACGCGCGCAAAACACGTGGCACACTCGGTTAGTCCAGCCCGTGCCCCCCCCCCCCCCCCCCTTCGAGACCAGTGCAGACCGCAGCCCCATTACTCGCGGCCGGTCTCCCTCTGGTTGCGCGGCCGCTTGCGTTTGTTTAGGATCCTGCTGAACAAGTTCCTCTTGTAGCTCGATCGGTCACACCGCCATCGCCGTCGGGGAGAGGGGGGACGACACTGCTTTGGCAGCGTGCACCTCGATACTGTACCGTGTTTGTTATGACCCCCCCCAATGAACACACCAGTGAGGGAGGGCGAGACAGACGATCGAGGGGTCCCGTACCATGCGGAATCGACCCTATCCAGTGCTCAAGTGCTCAAGGCCTCCCCGACCGCGTCGAACTCATCGACGCGGGCTCTCTCGGCTACGGGACCGGCCCCAGCTTCGGCCGAGGGCTGACAAGCTGCCGAGCCCAAATCACTGTGGCCGCCGTGATTTCTGGTTAGTGCCAGTGCGAGCCAGTCCCGTGCCCAGTCCTGTGCCCAGTGTCGTGCGAGGGAGTTTTGTTGTAAAATTCTGGTTTTCAAAAATCTGCATCAGAAGAAAAACCGCTGCGGATAAGGCCGCCGCAAAGCGGCTCAAGCTCACGCCAGAGCCGCCGCCAGTGCAGTGAGGCCGCCGCTGATCAATTCGGCTCCGAGACGCCTAGCAGCCGCTTAGTGTCAACTCGGCTCCGAGACGCCAAACAATGGCATGATCGCTCCTCCCACGCTGGAGCGCTCCGAGTCCGACACAAGATTCCTCCGGCTCGCACAAAACTTGAACCAGGCGCGAAAGGAGGGAGCGAAGGTGCAGGCGCGCGCCAGCCTCTCCTTCTTTTTCGCCGGCCTCGCCCTCTTTTTTGTGGCGATTGTCTTCGACATCGTCCTCATCTCCGGCGGTCTGATCGGCGTGCCGTACAAAGCCGCCAATTTTGCTCAGCCCTTTTGGCTGAGCGGCATCCTCATTGCGCTCCTTGGTTTACTGCCCTCGTACCAAAAGAGCCAGATCGTCGTCGCTGGCATTATGGCGATCTCGGCACCGCTTGGCGCCTTCGCCTTCACCTACACCCTGGACCCTCCGCTATCCGTTGTCTGCGCTGCGGATTACACATCAGCGACTGCTGATGGCTGTGCCATGCAAGTTTACTCAACTGTCGCGTACGCGGTCACGGGTATCACCTGCTCCGCCTTGGTGCTGCCCGCGGTGCGCAGGCGCGACGGCACGTGGGCGATGCAGCCTAGTGTCCGACTGCGTCGCCTTTGGGCGGCGGCGCGGCTGATTTGTCTCTTGTTTGCAGCCAACACCTTGCCGCTGGGCGTGGTGGCGCTCGTCGAGGGCGTCGACTATCTCGGCGCCGCGGCCAACCTCTTCGCCGGCTCGTGCGCGCTGCTCCTCCTGCTCGCCTTCCGCCCGTCGAGCCGGCGGCGGATGCACGCCCTCCTCTTCGAGCACCTCCACTTCGACGACCAGTCGCGCGCTGCAGCTATGGTGGCCAGCATGACCGGCGGCATCACTGCCGAGGCCGCGCTCCAGTCGGCGAGCCTGAACTTTCGCGTCGTCGACTTCTCCGAGCTTCGCGCGGACGACTTTGCCAGCAGCCAGACCCACGGAGGACCAGCGACGGCGTGCAGGGGGGCGCGCACGAGGCGCGTGGCGCTCGGGGAGTGCGATGCCTTCGTCTCGCACTCGTGGTCCGACGACGGCGACGCCAAGTTCTGCGCTCTGCGCACGTGGGCCGAAGCATTCACGGCCAGATTCGGCCGCACGCCGCTGCTGTGGGTGGACAAGTTCTCGCTCAACCAGGGCAATCTCTCGCAGGGCCTCGCCTCGCTTCCCGTCAACCTCGCCGGCTGTGCACGTCTTGTGTGCCTCCTCGGCCCGACGTACCTCGACCGGCTGTGGACTCTGCTCGAGCTCCTGACCTTCACGCGCATGGGAGCCGACCACTCCGCCCTCGTCGTGCTGCCCATCGGGCGCGGCGTCCCGGCGGCAGGCGCGGAGGACACGGCGGGTCTCGAGGCAGATCAGGGGGGGCGCGGCGCGAAGGCCGAGGTGATCGAGAAGGTCAAGGCTTTCGCGCTGCGCGACGCCACGTGCTTCGACCACGCCGAGCGCGACCATCTGCTCGAGGTGATCGCCTCCGGCTGCGGCAGCCACTTGGCCTTTGAGCGCATGCTGCGCGCGGTGCTCATGCCCGCCCTCACCGGCTCTGTCCGCCCGACGGTGGGCGTCCGCCGCCTCTCGGGGGACTTCGCCCAAGCCATCAGAACCTACTTTACGCAATCACGCCGGCCGTCCGCCACCAGATCGCCGCCCACGTGAAAGGTATGTGCGAGTGTATTGTAGACCATGTTGCCCACGTTACGTCACAGAACTACACGAACACGTAGTCGCACATGTGCCTGCCCTCAACAACTCCCCGCGCCCGCGGTGCCGGGGCGCGGGCGGGCGGCCGTTACCGGTTACGTGCCGCCGCACGCCGCATTATGATCGCCGATCATTCTCTGGTAGAACGGGTACGCAGGAGAAACCCCTCCCCAGACAAAACACAAGGGAGAGGTGGGTGGGTCACAGAAAGACGCCTCTCTCTCTCTCTCTCTCTCTCTCTCTCTCTCTCTCCCTCCCCCCCCTTCTCTCTCTCTCTCAATCTTAACCCTTTTCATACCGCGGCCTCCCGGATCTTGCGCCTGTAAAAGTAGTTGTGCTCCGCGTCTGGCAGCATGTCCCTCTCCGCGAGCAAGCGCTCCGGGTAGGTGAAGCGGGCTGCCTCCTTTGAGAGCGTGCAGCCACCGTCGACCCAACGGCACAGCTTTCCGTCCATGAAGTTGTCGCGAAGGCAGGACCATATCGTCTCCTCACACTGGCACTCGTTCCAAGTCCGGTGCCGGTGGGCGCTGGTGCTCGCGCACTCTTTACACTCGGCCACGTCGATGAACGGGCCAGAGAAGGGGAAGTCGACCGCCTTGCTCCAGAAGTTGACGGTGGCATTGCAGTACTCGGAGCGGTGGCAGCCACGCCAGGGCTCAAAGTAGCCCCTGTTGAGCTCGTCGAGCCGGCGGCGCATCCCGACGCTGATGGCCGCCTCCACGTCCCCGCCGGCTCCTGGATCGTTCAGGTCGCGGTGCTCAGTCGGATCGTCCGAAATGCGGAAGAGGCACCCCAACTTTGTTCCCTCCGAGCAGTCCTTTGGCAACGTACCCCTTCCCCCAAAGGGGGCGGGGTTCCATGGGCGGCAGTCCGTTGGGAACCACGAACTTCTGTTGCCCCCGATCCCAATGGGACAGGAAGCGTTTGGGTATTCGGGACCCATGTGCATGTCGAAAGACGTCATGCCACTGATCAGCTTGTACCAGGCTGGATCGTCTTCACCGCCTTTGCGCGCCAGTAGTGCCTGCGTTGACAGCTGGAGCTCCCATCGCGCCTCCGGGCACGATGTCGGGAAGGCGATGGAAGGCCAGAGGTTGACCGAGCTCACGGGCTGCACGCCAACGGAGTCATCCGTCGGGTCGACGCCTGCGAGGTAGCTGAGCGTGGAGTACCAGTCGGCGACGTGCGACACCACGCTCGAGACGCGCCCCGCCCCCTTCCTCAGAACAGTCCGCTGCACAAAGCCGCCTGAGATAAAGGCTGGCACGCGGAAGCCTCCATCAAAGTCGCCGCCTTTGCCACCCCGGAGCGGATAGTTATTGGCACCCGCAGTCGTGCCTATCGCGCCACCGTTGTCGTTGGTGTAGATGATCAGTGTGTCCTGCCACATGCCTTTCTGCCCGAGCGCCGATACGAGGCGGCCAACCTGCTCGTCGAATATGTGCACCATCCCCAGGTGCGCGATCCGCTCTGGCAATGCACATTGGCCGTACCGAAGGCCATGCAGGAGGGTCTGACCGAGCTTGCGGTTGATCATGCAGGTGCCGTCTTTATCCTTGCAACCCGGGTTGTGGTCGCACCAGGCCGCTGCAACGGAGTCGAAGGTCTCATCTGGAAGCTCGAGATGAGTGTGCGCGGCGCGGCTCCAAAAAAACAGTGCGAGCGGCGTGAGAGCGTCGTGCTGCTCGATGATTTCCACGGCGCGATCCATGAAGAGAACCTCCTCATAGCCGCTCTGGTCGGGGTCCGAGAAGAAGTCCTCCCTTGGCCGGTCCCCATCGGGGTAGTCGTCGTAAATCGCGAGGTACCGTTCGTATGCCCAGTACGCTTGCTGGCCAGATGCAGTGTCGCTGCTCGAGCCGTTGAACAGGTCGATCGCGTACGGTGCCTTTGGACCCCAGTCGTCCGGGCACAGTGGGTGGCCTGGGCCGGCCGTGTCTCGCGGCGTGTCAAACTTGTAAGCCCCATTTGAATGCGAGTAGAAGCCGAAGAAGGTGTCAAAACCACGAGATGTTGCAGCGTGGGACTGCGTTGCCACGCCGAGGCCGTCGGCCTTGCCGACCAAGTGTGTCTTGTAACCAGCCGCCTTGAGCTTGTGCCCAACTGTGGTGACGTTCAAGGGCAAGCCCTCATAGCCCCACGATGCGTTCGTCCCTCCGTCCCAGGTGTCAAGGTCTCCCAGCAGCACGCCCATCTGCGTCGGCAGCCGCCCACTCAGAATGGACTGCCGCGACGGCGTACAGGTGAAGTAGGCGTAGTGGCGTTCGAGGAGCACCCCCGAGCGAGCGAGAGTGTCGAGATGGGGAGTGTAGTTGGTCCAGGTACCTTCAAAGGAGTCGTACGTGCCTGGGATTGTGGCGGCAGCATGCCGAGCGGAAAAGCCGACGTTGTTGTGGCCGACGTCATCCGTGAGAAGCATGACGACGTGAGGCCTCTCTCCGGCACCCGGTGCTGCTCGCGCGCAATTGACAACTGCCGCAGCTCGCGCGCAGTGGAGGAGGAGCAGGAGCATGGCGCCGCCACGCATCGGAGATGATGCGCAAGGGCGAAGTGAAAGTGAGACGGGATGCTCGGCAAGGGCCAGGCAAAAGTGAGCTGTTCGCCGATAACGATTGATTGGGGTAGGGACCCTAACTCGTGATAGGCCACTAGTTTCCCGCAGGAGACTCACGGAGATCCTCTCCTCTCCTACCTCTTCTTCTGCCTCTGCGTCCTTCACGGACTCTCCGTGGACATCTTTTACTTCATCTTTTACGGAAGTTTGAACTTCCGTACGTGTCGGGCGCTCCCGCCCGCTCGCTGCTCTGATGAGCGCGGCTTCCGCTGCTCTCTCCTGCTCACCTGGCCATGACGCCGCTCCTCGTCCTTGGCCGCGCCAGGCTCTCCTTCCTACTGCGCCAGCCCTTCGGCTGCACCAGTTCTTTCTTCTCCCCACCCACCCTATCCGCTATCCTGCCTACTCTCTGGCTTTGGGGTGTGGTTCTCTCTATCTGGTCCGAGGTGCGATCCCTTACGGCGCCGCGGGCGGCTACAGGACGTTGAGGTCCCCTCCGTACCTGTAGCAACCCAAGCCGTTTGAGTCCCAACCCTCCGCCTTCAGTGGCAGGATCCCAGGGGATGTCAGGGATACTGCGTAGCCCTTCCTGGTAGAGGCGCGCGCGATTCCGTGACTCTCCTTTTACGCGCCAATGTACCCTCACCGAAGGTGCATAGGAGTGAATCCGAGTGAAACTAGTGATGGCGAGAAGAATTTTACAACAAAACTCCCTCGCAGGCGAGAAGAAAATAAAAGAAACCTGCGCTCAGCTTGCGCTCCTGTACAAAGATCGCACGGGCGGCGGGCGGGGACCTGTTCCTTTTTATCCATCGTTTTTTATTTATTTACTAGATGAGTTTGTGTTGTTGAGATCTGATGGTTCTCTGGTAGGACGGGAACGAGATGATAGTAGGGAGTAGAAGAAAGCAAAGAGGAGCCCTGCGCACGCACGACTCCGCAGGAGAAACCCCTCCCGCCCGTGCTTGCGCAGCGCAGCCTCCCTCCTGATGGACGCCCCAAGAGTGAACCTAATAACTCTCAGCGACAGCATCCCAACTGCTTATCGCAGGCAAGTTCGTGCTTCAGAACCGCCTTAGCCATGGGGGAGAGGTGCTCTTTGTACGCAGCCGGTGTTCGTCTGCGGTGCGAAAGCCTGAGGGCACTCGATCCAAAGTACGATGCGTTGCTTGCATTCGCAACGAGCACCGCAAGCATCTTTGGGAGTAGTGCCGCTGAATTCTCAATGACGCCCAGGAAGGCATACTGCGGAAGCATTCTCTGCACCGGCGCCATTTTTATTACATTCCGCGGACCGCGCGTGCGCGCGCGCGCGCCGCTCTGCGCTCTAACCGGTTGTCTCGCGTCGGTGGTGGCTTTTTTGCGCTTCGGCGGCGCTGCATGTAAACGGGGTGTTGAACCGTAAACGGGGTGTTGAACAAGGCATGTCAGTCACTTATACACACACATACAAACACTCTAAAGTGTGCATGTGTCGCGCAAACGTCTCTGTGGGTTGTTCAGTGTCCTGCACCGCGCCCTCACTCCGTGGGCTGCCTTACACGTACCGCCCGTCCTTGAAGACCTTGTTGCTCTTCTTGCGCCTCCCCCCCGCCTGCGCCTCTGCCTTGCGCTTGCGCTCCGCCGCCTCCTCCTGCCACTTGTCGTGGTCAAAGTAGTGCGCCATCATCCGCTCGCCCCCGGTCCGCGCGAGGCCCTTGAAGTCCCAGTAGTTGTCCCCCGCGCGGTGCGCCGCCTCGAACCGGCCCGTCGCGCCGTTGAAGTGCCCCTCCACCGAGTACTCCTCAAACGCCGGCCGCTGCAGCGGCGCTGTGCCCCCCGCCGCACCGGCACCGCCGTCGGCGGCCGCCGCGCCGCCGCCGCCTACGTCCAGACCACACGCCCCGCCGGTGACCAGGGCTCTGCTTGGGCACTACTAGGGACCTACTGGGCACTACAGGGACTGGGACTACTAGGGCCTACTAGGGGCCGCCGCGCGCCGAGCAGCGGCACGCTGCTGATCGGCCGCGCCGCCTCCTTCGCCTCAGAGACGTGGCGCACCTTCGTCTCTGGCGGAAGCATCGCCGCCGCGCGCCACCGCTGCATCGCCGCGGCCGTGAACGGGCCTGCAGTGTGGGTACGCCAGCCTCGGGGCGGGGATGTGGTCATGTGCAGAGTGTCTAGAGCGCGCGCGTGAGTACGAGGGGCTACGAGCACAGTGAATGCGGCGGAAGACGGTCGAAAACAGCGGAGTCCGTGTCCTCTCGAGCGCTGGCTGGAGCACACGAATACGTCCGCTTCTAGGGTGAGCGGTGCCCTGCTCGGCGCCCGTATCTCCCCACATCTCGCCCGCATCTCCCCTACTCTCGCTTCTAGGGTGAAGCGTGCCCTGCTCGGCGCCCGTCACGTCCACGTAGAGCCACATCGGCACCTCGCCGCCTCTGTCGAGCGACGGGAGCACCGGCGGCGGCGCGGGGAGGGCGCGCGGCGCGGCGAGCGCCGCCGCGAAGGGCTCCGTCTCGCGGAGTGGCGTGAAGGACCCACCGGCGTGTGCCGCGGCGGCCTGAGGGAAGAGAAGGCCAGCTTCTCGACACGACTCGAGCCAGCTTCTCGAGCCCACGTCCAGCGAGAGGCCCGGTGCGCGTGGGTGAGATGTGTGTGTGTGTGAGCGTGTGTGTGTGTGTGTGTGTGTGTGTGTGTGTGTGCGTGTGTGTGTGTGTGCGTGCGTGCGTGTGTGTGTGCGCGCGTGTGCGGCTGCCTCGTTTGGGTCCGAGAGGAGGACCGAGCGGCGGACCATGCGCGACGCCTTGATGTGGCCCGCCTTGAGCCAGCCGAGCAGCTTCTCCGCGGAGAAGGGGCCCTGCACGCGCCCGCGGTCGTCCCAGTACTCCCACAGCGATGACGCCTCGTGCGCGCTCAGGCCACCTCGCGGCTCCTCCCCCCCGCCGCCCGCCCCCGCCGCCTCTCCCGCCGCCGCTGCCGCCGTGTCGCCACCCGGCGGCGGCGGCGCGGGCGGCGGCGCGGGAAGCGGCGCGGGAAGCGGCGCGGGAAGCGGCGGCGCGTCATCATCCCTCACGACGTACGGCGCCAGCTCTGGCCACTGCTCCATCGGCCGCCTCTCCGCCTTGTCGCGCGGTGCGCCGTGCGGCAGCCGGAAGACTGGCCGGCTCGCCTCGAGCAAGCCTCGCGAGAGCCACGAGCGGAGCTTCGCGGTCGTGTACGGCCCTTGCTCGCCGCCGCCGTCGTCGAGGTACACCCAGCTCGGCCCGTCCCCCTCCCGCGCACCTCTGCCGGCGGCGGGCGGCGCCGAACTAGCCGTGTCGGCCGCCGCGGCCGCCGGGGCGGCACTTGGCGGCGTGGCCGCGGGGAGGAGCGCGTCGGCCGCAGCGAGGGGCAGCGGCTGGTTGGCGCGCAGGTTGCGCTGCACCTGCTGCCGAGCCCTGCGCAAGGCTTCAGCAGGGGGCAGCGCCGCCGCTGCCGCCGCCGCCTCCGCCGCCGCCGCCGCCTCCGCCGCCTCCGCCGCCGAGGCAGCGGCCGACGCGGGCACAGATGTGGGCACGGCAGCCGAAGTTGCTGCTGCCGCTGTTGCCGCTGCTGTTGTTGCTGCTGCTGCGGCGGAGGCGGCGGCGGCGGCGGCGGCGGCTGCAATGGCGGCGGCGGGCGCATCGCCGGAGGCCTCGGGCATGACCGCGGCAGCCGCCACCTCAGCCCCTCCCGCCGCCGCCTCCAGCTCCGCCGGTGCTGCGCTTGCTTTGGCATCTCCTGCCTCCACCTCCACCGCCTCCGCCGTTGCCGTCCCCTCCGCCGCCTCTGCCGCCTCCGCCGCCTCCGCCTCCGCCTCCGCCTCCGCCGCCGCCTCCGCCGCCTCCGCCGCCGCCTCCGCCGCCGCCTCCGCCTTCGCCCTACGCAGCGCCTCCTCTTCCTCTCGGCTGAGCGACGCCTCGCTCCCCTTGCTCGGCGGCGGAGGAGCGATCAGGTCCTCCTCCCAGTCCTCCGGCACGACGCTGAGGAACTCCGCGTACCGTCCGAGCGGCTGCATCTCGGCGGCGTCTGTGCCAGCGGGCCCGCCGCGCCGCGTCGGCTGCAAGTACCCCTCGCGGATCCAGCCTTGCAGCTCGGACGTGCTGAAAGGGCCCTGCACGCCGCCGCGGTCGTCCTCGTACACCCACTCTAGCCCGTCCTCATCCTAAGGTGGGGTCGGGTCAGGTACACTTCTCGACACACGCACATGGTGGTGGTGGTGGGGCAAGGGCCATGCAGCCATGGCGACTCCACGTTCTAAGAGACAAGAGTCCCACGGCATTCAAAGTGCACGGGCCGGTGCGCGTGTGTGTGTGCGTGTGTGTGTGTGTGTGCGTGTGTGTGTGCGTGCGTGCGTGCTTGCGTGCGTGTGTGTGTGTGTGTGTGTGTGTGTGTGTGTGTGGGTGCGTGTGTGTGTGTGTGCGTGCGTGTGTGTGTGCGTGCGTGCGTGCGTGCGTGTGTGTGTGTGTGTGTGTGTGTGTGTGTGTGTGTGTGTGCCTGTGTGTGCCTGTGTGTGCCTGTGTGTGCCTGTGCCTGTGTGTGTGTGTGTGTGTGTGTGTGTGTGTGTGTGTGTGTGTGTGTGTGTGTGTGTGTGTGTGTATTGTGTGTGAATATCCTCACACCAAGATTGTGCCATCTACAGTCCTCATCCTCGAACTCGGGCGGCGCCAACTCCTCGTTGTCCTCCTCGCCCCCCTCACGCGGCGACTCCCCCGCGCCCGCCCCACCCTCTCCGCCGCCGCCGCCGCCGCCGCCGCCGCCGCCGCCGCGCGTGGCCTCCGCCTCCGCGCCCGCAGCCGCCGCAGGCCGCTTCGGCCGGCGGCGGGCCAGCTCGGCCTCCTCGGCGATCTCTGGCCACGAGCCAAGGTCGAGGAAGGCGCCGCGTCGGCCGCGCCGCACGAGCCGCACCGGCCCGAGCAGCCCCTGCCGCACGAGCGAGCGAATCTGCGCCGTCGAAAGAGGGCCTCTCTCCTCGCCGACGTCGTCTTGGTAAAACCACTCGACCTCCGCCGCGCTCACGCCGCCCGGCAGGACCTCGTCCTCCTCCGCGGCACGCTCCGCAGCAGCGCGCGCCGCATGGCTGTCGACGCGCGTCCCAGCCGCGTCCGCTTGCCGCTTGAGCAGCGCGCCCAGCCGCTGGAAGCGCATCGCGCCAGAGGCGAGTCGCGCGAGAACGTCGTGGCTCACAAGCCCGTCGTGGATCATCGCGTGGACCTGCTCCTCCGAGTACGGGCCCTGCTCCGCGCCCTCCTCGTCGACGACGTAGAACTGCATTCCGGACGAGGGCACCGACGGGTTCCAACTCTTTGCGGGGTATGGTTCTTGCCCAAAGGTGAAAAGAGTGAGAAAGAAAGAACACTGACCCAGGAAAGAAAGAAAGAAAGAAAACGGACAACCCAAGGGAGGGATGGGAGGACGGCACGCCGCCACCACACAGGGATTTCTTGCATTTTTGCTCCCGGCTGAGGGAGCAAGCAAGCCCACTCAACCCCAAGTACTCACCATTCTTACAGTGGTGTAGCTTGTGCAGAGGCTGCAGCCTCTGCTGGGGCGGAACGCGCGGGGTTTTCGGCGCGATGCCCTCGGCGAGTACACGCTACTGCTGTGCCGCACGCTCTCCTGCGCGCGCGTGACGTGTGGGACGCGTGCGCTGCGCTCAAACGTCGCGATTTGGCGATAGGCGCTCGAGCCGGCGCACAGCGGGCGGGTGCGCCGCGCAGGGGGGGTCGGAGGGGTGCGAGAGGGAACGTGGGTCGGGCGCGCACCGGCTGGCTCCGGGAGCGGCCGTCACGTCGAGGAGTGGGGCTGTCGGCGGCTCGAGCGCCGAGGCGAGCCGCTCTGCTGCGCCGCCGACAGCCCCTCTTCCGAGCCGGCGCGTGGAGGCGAGCCGCGGCCGGTGTCGCTGGTGCGGGGGCGGCGAGGGTTCATCGGCCGGCAGCGAGAGCGACCTCATGAATCGCGCCACCAAGACCGCGCGGCACGTACGCGCACTTGCCGGCCTCGAGGCGCGCTCTCCTTGCGCGGCATGCCCTGTGTGTGTCAGCGCTTCGCCTCGGAGCCGCTCGACTGTACGAGAGTCGGGCTCCGGCCCTCGGTACCACGGCAGCGACGGCGTGCTCCCTTCCGGCCGCGACAGGCGCGAGGCGGGTGGCGGTGCGGCGGCTGCTGATGCTGCTGCCGCGCAGAGCTGTCGTGCACCCGAGAAGTGGCACACAGCTCGAAGGCGGCGTCGGCGACCGCCGCGCTGGCTCTCTCTCCTCGGCAGACGCCGCGTCGCGTCTCGGCGGCGGCAGCTGCTTCGCCGCGAGAGTAGCGAGGCGACGCACGCGCCTCCGCTCTGCGGCAGCAGCCTCTAGCGAACGCGCCGGCATAGCGCCGGGCCGGGCGAGGGCGAGCCGAGAAACACGTTGTGACGGCCCTCGTGTGAATCGCTTATCCGGCGCTCGAGGAAATAACACGGTTCGGGCTTCAAGTTACTTCGAAACCTGTAACGGCGAAAGAAAACGGAGGAAAACGCGAGAAAAGAGAAGGGCCATTGCTCAAACTCTCTCTGAGAAGAATAGGTGTGCTGCGCTGTAGCGGCGACAGGCGACGGCAAAAATGCAAGCCCCGCCCCTGGCCACTGTTTAAGGAGAGGTGTGTGATGCGCTAGCCGTCGCCCACCCTTGGGCGTCCGCCTCTTCCTATCTCTCTTCGCAGTCTCTCACCGATTCTCGCTGCAACCTTCATGCCACCTCGCGGTCGTCCCACTCTCGTCGTTCTTTCCCTTCTCGCTTCTTCTTCATTCTGTCGCGTCGCTCTCCTCTGCCTCGTTCTGCGACGCCGCCGCCGCCTGCCGGTCCCTTGTTCTCGCTGCTTCTTTCGCCTTTCGGCGCAGCTCCGTCCTCCTCGCTGCATATCCTGGCCCCTCGAGTCTATCGAGTTCCAACTCTTTGACACAGCGGCAAAAGAGGTATTTTCTTCTCAATATAAACAAGGCTGTAGACAGCGCCGGCTGTCTGAAGTGGCCCGAGTGTGGGAGAACGGGTGACCTGGGCGGGCCTCGATCTTTGGGTGTATAATACGGCTGCGAGTTGCAATGAGTCTTCGTGTGTGTAATACGTCTATGAGTTGCTATGAGTCTTTGTGTGTGTAATACGTCTACGAGTTGCTATGACAGCAGCGTTTGACTATCTGAGCCCCCCCCCCCCGCCCCCCCCCTCAATCCCCCCCCCCCCTCGTCCTCCCTTTCCTCCTCTTCCCTTCCGTCCCAGATACAGCCAACCCCTCTCCCGCTATCCCCTGCAGGTGCAGGGGAGAAACACAGTGAAAATTGATGGGCTTGCCCATCCCGGAGTGGTTCGATCCCACGCAAACCCGAGACGGTGACGGGTGTTGTCTCGATGATCTCAGGCCCAGTGAGGTAGTGCGTCAGACTATCCCGGATCCTGCTGAACAAGCTCCTCTTGTAGCTCGATCGGTCACACCGCCATCGCCGTCGGCGGACTCGGGCCCGGTGCTTCGACGCAGCACAGTGTGCTTCGTGGTAGCATGAACTCAGAACGGCCCCCCGAGAGCGCCTCTTCGACGCCCACGGGTCCCGGGGGGTCGGAGGGGTTGCGAGAGGGCCCCGGCTATTTTTTGTTTGAATCCCGGAGGCCGTTAGAACATGAATTGACGTTCCACGTGCCCGTCCACAGCCACGGACAACATGCTAGCCCAGCAGGCCGCTCCCACCGCCGCCCGCGGCGGAGGCAAGGCGGCAAAGGGTGGCAAGGGCGGCGGCAAGGGCGGTGGCAAGGGTGGTGGCCGTGGCGCACCAGACCCGCTTTGCGCCGCCGCCCTCAACGCCCGATACTCGGTTAGAGCCGGCGGAGCGACGGCGGCAAAGGTGCGGCCGCCGGCGACCTCACACGGTGTCGAGCGCCGTAGAGACGGCCCCGAGAGCCGCCACCAGGTGTGCCACGACCGCGGCCGCGAGGCTCGTGGCGATGGATGCGCCAGACCCGCTTTGCGCCGCCGCCCTCAACGCCCGATACTCGGTCAGAGCCGGCGGAGCGACGGCGGCGGAGACACGGAGTTGCGGCCGCCGGCGACCTCACACGGCGTCGAGCGCCGTAGAGACGGCCTCGAGAGCCGCCACCAGGTGTGCCACGACCGCGGCCGCGAGGCTCGTGGCGATGGATGCGCCAGACCCGCTTTGCGCCGCCGCCCTCAACGCCCGATACTCGATCAGAGCCGGCGGAGCGACGGCGGCAGAGTTGCGGCCGCCGGCGACCTTCCCCTCGACCACGCCGCCGACCCGTCGACAAGCACGCGTGGACTGCCATCGAGAAGAAGGAGAAGGAGGGCGGCGCATCCGGAGCCCGCGGGCGCGGCGTGGGCGGGCGCGGGCGCGGGCGGGCGCGCGGGAACCCCGCCAGCGGAGGCGACAATGCCTCTGGCGGCTCTGCAGGCGGCACGCGGCGCGCCCCTCGCCGGTCTCCCGCACGCTCCTGAGGGCCGAGAGGGCCGAGAGGCGGGGTCGGTGACCCGGGGGCATGGGCGGTGCGGCCCGCGCCGCGCGCGGGCGCGTGGCAGCCCGTGAGTGCCGAGATCGGGTCTGTGCTTCGACGTAGCATGGGCCCCCGGAGGCCCATCTACAGCAGCGGCGAAGTGAGCGTGTTTGTGGTGTTGGTGTGACGTCTGAGCTTGGATCTGTGACTAAAGCCGCTTACCACTGATGGATCCCCACCCGAATAACACACAGTGAGCGCCCCAGCGCTTCACTACGCCCTCTGCGCGAAATCGCTAGTGGTGCTTTGTGGCAGCACATTGTGCTTTGTGGCAGCACGGGTGCGGTGCCCGAGACCGTCGGGGAGAGGGGGGACGACACTGCCTCGGCAGCGTGCACCTCGATCCTGTACCGTGTTTGTTATGACCCCCCCCAATGAACACACCAGTGAGGGAGGGCGAGACGATCGAGGGGTCCCGTACCACGCGGAATCGACCCTATCCAGTGCTCAAGTGCTCAAAGGCTGTGAAGGTGCCCCCCTGGACAATGCTCCTCCGACGTTTGTCGCTGCCGTCGCTGCGCTGCCGTGTGGGAGCGCCGGCGCTCGGGCGGGCCGGGCCATCGTCGCTCCGCTCGCTCTCGTCCGCCGTGCCGCTCGCGCCGCCGCCGCTCGCGCACGCGCCGCCGACCGAGCTGGGGCCGCTCGCGCTCAACAGGATACGGGACAACTACGGCGCGAGGCTCAAGAAGACGCGCGTCGGGCGCGGCGTCGGGTCGGGGCGCGGGCGGAAGAGCGGCCGCGGCATGAAGGGCATGGCGGCGCGCGCGGGCAACAAGGGCTTCCTCCTGCAGAGCGGAGGCCAGACGAGCGACGTGAAGCGGATCCCGAAGCGCGGCTTCTACCGGCTGAAGCGGGAGTACCTCGGCGTCAACCTGCAGGACCTCCAATCGTGGGTCCTCTCGGGCCGCCTCGACCGGCCGGCCGCCGACGCGCCCATCACCGTCAAGACGCTCTTCGACAACCGCCTCATCACGCTGCGCGCGGCGAGAGGTAGCCGAGACACGGCCGAGATACGGCCGAAGGACGGGGGAGTTATGGCCGATATGTGGACGTGCGATCTGCTTCTCGCACGGCTCCGACGCTACAGCGAGCGACCCAGTCCGCCAATTCATGATGACCACCCCGAACCCCTTCCCGACAGCCCCCGCCACCCACCGCCGCCTCCCGGCGCAAGGGCGCCGCCTCGCTGACAGCCACCGCCACCGCCCCCTCCAGCCTGGCGACCCAAGAGACGCCTCCTCCGCCCCCACCTCCTCCGACTCCGCCTCCTCCGCCACTGCTCCCTCCGCCGCCGCCTCCTCCGCCCCTGCTTCCTCCGCCGCCGCCTCCCTCGCTGCCGCCTCGTGTGACCTCGCTGCCGCCTCCGCTCGCTAGGGCGTCTCCGGGATCAAGCTGCTCGGCCGGGGCGGCGGGCAGCTGCAGGTGCCACTGCACGTCGAGGCGCAACAGCTCTCGGCCCCCGCTATCCAGGCGAGTGCCGCAGCACGTCCACGACACGTCCACGACACGTCCACGACACGTCCACGACACGGCACGTCCATGACACGACACCGTGCCACGTCCATGGCAGGCGCACGCACGCACGCACGCACGCACCCACCCACCCACACACACACACACACACATACACACACACACGCACGCACGCACGCACACACACACACACACGCACACGCACACTCACACTCCCGCCACACACACACACACACACACACACACACACACACACACGCACACTCACACTCACACTCACACTCCCGCCACACACCGCATTCAGGCCGTCGAGGCGGCAGGCGGCTCAGTCACCGCTGTCTACTACTCGCCCCTCGCGCTGCGCGGACTGCTCAAGCCCGAGGCCGCTGTCGCCCCCCTCCGCCAACCCCTCCCCCACCCAGCCCGCCACCACCGTCGCCTCCGCTGCCTTCTCCGCCTCCTCCGAGCCCCGCCACCCAGCTCCCCCAGCCTTATCGCCAACCGCCCTATGCACCAAGACCTGCGCAGCCTCCTCCGAGGACTCAACCGCAAAGTCCAAGCGAGGAAGTACACCTCTGCCTACTCTGGGGCTGTCGGGTCCAAAGCGACGCCTGAGGTACCTCGGCGAGAAGACGAATCGTCAACGTCTATCCGAATGGGAGAGTAAGTGGAAGAGGATGAGAGCCGTGCAAGCCTTACGCGACATGACAGCGAGGTGATTTCCCCGCCACAAACAAAATGGTAGCACCCACGGCTTCTTCAGGTGGAATAAGCGCTTCGCTCGCGCGGGTCGTCCTTCTTGCTCCTACTTTGGGGCCCGGCTGGTCGGCCCTCCCACCAG